TTCAATCTCTTTCCAGGCGTTCAGACGCCTCTTCCGTTGTCTTGAGTTCAGAAGTGGCTTGACCATGGGAATACGGCTATTGTAGCCCATTTCCCGGACACGTCTGTGAACAGTGACTTTTGATACCTGGACTCCAGCTTCAGTCCACTGTCTTTGAAGCTCCCCCAAATTCTGGAAGCGACTCTTCTTCACAATGCTGTTAAGGCTGCGGTCATCTCTCTTGGTTGTGCAGCGTTTCCTGCCACATTTCCCCCTTCCAACAGACTTTTTGTGGATGTGCTTTGAAACTGCACTCTGTGAACAGCTTGCTCTTTGAGAAATTTCTTTTTGTGTCTTACCCTCCTGATGGAGGGTGTCAATGACGGTCCTCTGGACAGCAGTCAGATCAGCAGTCTTCCCCATACTTGTGATTTAGTTTACTGAACCAAGCTGAGTGTTTTTCAAGGCTCAGGAAACCCTTGCAGGTGTTTCGAGTTAATTAGACGATTCAAGTGATTCGTTGAACACCCTACTAGTATACTTTTTCATGATATTCTAATATTTAGAGATAGGATATTTGAGTTTTCTTAAGCTGTATGCCATAATCAGCAATATTAAAATAATAAAAGGCTTGCAATATTTCAGTTGATTTGTAATGAATCCAGAATGTATGACATTTTTGTTTTTTTAATTGCATTACAGAAAATAAAGAACTTTATCACAATATTCTAATTTTCTGAGACAGTCCTGTAATATATAAGTAAAATTTGAAATAAAACTCCTTGTAGCCATAGGGACACAGTGTCTTCCACAGACGTCCTCCATAGCACAGAGACCCTCTGAGGACTCTCATGGTGAAGGCTTGATGAAGCTCAAACATTCCATGAGCCATTGATGGAAACGTTGTTTTCAGATATATCCCGGATCAACCATGACTCCATAAAGCACATTAAACTAAACTCCAGATATTTAGTTTGACTCCTGGCTCACGCCTTTAGCCCGTTTATTCAACCAGTGATCTTACGTTGCCCATGATGAGAGGGGGGCAGACTTTGAATATATCTATTTTTCTCCATAAATCTGGACCCGGCTCCCCTACCTCTTTGCTTCGGTGAACCCTGCATCGTCTGGTCCTTCTACAGATTTCAGTGGGGATAACCGTTAACCCGACCACTATCCTCGCTGGCTTTAGCACGATTAGCTTCTCCCTGGTGTAAACAAGGCAGCCATTGGGTAACTGCGTGTGGATGCACAACAACAGCAACTCAACGGCCTTAAACAAACAAGATCCCTCTCTGTAAGAAAGTTCAGAGAGGGCACAGCTTAATAAGTTACTAATATAAGTTATTTATGGGAATAACAACATTCAAATAAGAAGGCTAAAATGTGAAATATTTCAAATCTAGCAAAAGCGACAGCAATGCTAACTTCTGCAGTACCTGGGCAGGTACATTCATAACAATCCACAAACTCTTAAATTATTTCATAGTTTCTATCATACAAACAATTATCTCACATGTCAAAGAATGGGTCTATAAATTATAAATACCAGCACATTTATCATGACATATAACATTTTTAATAACTTCTAAACTAAAACCTCAAATCACGTTCAAGTTAATGTTGAGTAGAGCTTTGGCATCTCAAGACCTATACTTCATTGAAATATGGACTACTGTAGGTTTCATGCTTATTTCACCTTGACATCGACAGAGAAATGTACAAACGTTTAGGAGACAATGTGTCCCCCTGCTGGTGCTTGGATAAAAATGCACTTTATTCACTGGCCTCTTAGATTTTCAGCAGCAGCCATTACAGAAGTCTCAAATGCAGAACTTTATTTTACCTGCGCTTACTACATTTGTTATCAAAAAATAAATAAGGGTAAGAGTTGTTGAAATGTGAATGCCCAAAACAGAATTAATAGACAATCCCCCCTTCTTAACCTTCAATCTCTTTCCAGGCGTTGGTGGTGTACGAGTGTCTGTCGGAGTGGGGTCAGATCCTGTGTGCCATATGTCCAAACCTGAAGCTGGTCATCACCGGGGGAACCAGCACCGCCATCTGTGTGTGGGAGACAGGGACCTCCAAGGAGAGGGCCAAGGCCCTCACTCTCAAACAGGTGAAAACAAAGAGTCAATGCAACATCCTGGAGAGGTCAACATGCTGTATCATCATTATATCAGTGGTTTGAAATGGCCTTGGAATTAAAATAATTCTGTTAAATCGCAGTTCTGTCCAGGACAATAAATCATTCAACAAAAGTAGTTATGGTGACGGCCTAATCAGGCTGATTTCAATCTGGTGAAATTGAAAGAGGCCCTATTATGCTTTTTTGGGATATCTAAGCAGTTGACCAACAACTTGGCACACGGCCAGTTTTTTGTACAGTAAAGCATGGAAACATTTCACATTAGAGGCACTAAATACAAATATCAACCTGAACACTAGCATCATATTTCCTCTCCTGCTTAAAACCTTTTCAAATAAAACCTTTTCAAATCAGAAACACTTAAACTTTAAGATAGCTGAGGTGGATAGAAACAATAGCTTTCTACTATATCTTTGATTTAAAATGTACCCCCGTAGCACTGGAATATTTTCCCCTCTCCTCTACCTCTCCTCTTTAAAACTGTTTAAGAATCCGGTCATCTTAACACAGTTTAACAAGGCTTCACCTCTTTGGTATAGTCTTCGGACTGTTCAGGTATTATTTGGTACTTCTAATGCGTTTGCATCATTGCAGGCGTTGCTGGGCCACACAGACGCTGTGACGTGTCTGACGGCGTCCTCGGCGTACCACATCGTGGTCAGCGGCTCCCGAGATCGAACCTGCATCATCTGGGACCTCAACAAGCTTTCCTTCGTCACGCAGCTCAGGGGACACCGGGCGCCCGTCTCTGCTCTGTGTATCAACGAACTGACGGTAGGCTGGAGTGTACATGTCACCCTCTGCAATCTCATATATGCTTTTAATCCAGGATAATAAATAAGGAGCAGTAAATCATGAAGAGCATCATTTAAATCATGGCTACAGTCAGATTATCAGACCAAATCTGTGTTATCAAAGCTAGTTTGAATGACTTTGTATGCTGTAGGGTAGCTTGTGAATGTACTCCAGGTGGAACTAAAGTTTTATTTAAGTGTTGAATATAATTCAAATCATTAATGAAAATGCAGTATAAAAGTATAAAACAAATGT